CTCGAGGCACAAGGTCTAACACAACACACTACCTCAGCAGCACTAGCGAGGGCGGACACGCGGCATAATGACTGGTAAGGCCAGGTACCACCTCCTTCCTCACTTGCGGTTCGCAGAGGCTCGAGCATGTCTCCCGTCTGATACTTATCATGACTTCAACTCGTCCTCAGGCCACGCTCATGATCCACAACCCGTCCTTGTCAACAAAGGCCAAATGCTTGTTAAACCACCCGCCAATTACCCGGGTTTATGAATGAAAAACCACTTTACATGCGACGTAACAGCTGATGGCTTGTGTATTTTTCTCCCAGCGGTGCTTCTCTGACGAACTCTGTTCGAATCCCAACACTGTTACTGTTCGACCCGTCCTCGCATACAAAGATCCAAGCTCGTGATCCAGCCGCCAAACTTCCCTGTCAGCCCGTCCTCCAAACAAAGATCCAAAAGTGATTCCATGCACCCGCCAAACCCCCTGTTTATGAATGAAAAACGGTTTACACACGACTCACGACTGTTGACGTTCGAACACTTCCGGAACAAGTGCTTCACTGACGAATTTTGTTCGAATCACAACGCTATAAATGCTTCACCCACGTACTACAAATACAAATAATCGCCAACAGAACCTAAACACCTAACCTAACCTAACCTATGCCTATATATGCACAATATGCTAATATAATATAATATTAATTTATACTTGAGAAAATTCCCGTTTTAAATGAACAGCATATTAAAATTTATGAATGCGTCTGTGGGGTCGACCGCTGAATGTAATGGACTTGAGTCGAGGACGGGTTGCGACAGCAGCGTACTCTACACTGGCGAAAATTAGAACTTCATTCAGAAACCTAAGTGAGGAGGCTTTTAGGGCGCTTTACACTGCCTACGTGAGACCAGTCTTAGAGTATGCCGCGCCATCATGGAGCCCCCACCGGGAGAAACACATAAGGAAACTGGAGAAGGTTCAGAGGTTTGCGACGAGGCTTGTCCCAGAGTTACGAGGGATGGGATATGAAGAACGTTTGAAGGAACTGAACCTTACGACACTAGAGAATAGAAGGGAGAGAGGAGATATGATAGGGACATAAAATACTCAGGGGAATTGGCAAAGTGGAAATAGATAAAATGTTCACACGTAATAATAACATAACGAGGGGACATGGGTGGAAACTGGAAACTCAGATGAGTCACAGAGATGTTAGGAAGTTTTCTTTTAGCGTGAGAGTAGTGGACGAATGGAATGCACTTCGGGAACAGGTTGTGGAAGCAAACTCTATTCATAATTTTAAAATTAGGTATGATAGAGAAATGGGACAGGAGTCATTGCTGTAAACAACCGATGGTTAGAAAGGCAGGATCCAAGAGTCAATGCTCGATCCTGCAAGCACAAATAGGTGAGTACAAATAGGCACATGCACACAAACATGGTCACACACACACACACACACACTCACACACACACACACACACACACATACAAACACACACAAACACACACACACACACACACACACACACACACACACACACACATACAAACACACACACACACACACACACACACACACACACACACACACACACACACACACACACACACACACACACACACACACACATACACACACATACTGCTGATCATTCACTGTTAATTGCACATTAATTCAAACGGAGATCCCTGACTGCTCATTAATCGCACAATATCTGCACCCCAAGTATCACATAATCTACTGTGTTCTATCATATATCTTTCATATAAAACCTTCCTTCTACTAGATATCAAATATACGATGTGCTTTAAGAACTGATGATATATCGTTGCCCCCTATAGCATCTTAAATATTTTCAACTCTTTACGAATTAAAAACAAAAATGTTGCATAAAATAATCCAACGTGGCCACTTTAGCTAACACATCTACAACATATTAGGATGTTTTAATAAACCTATATTAGTCGAATGGCATAAATCTTAGGTTAATTATGTATGAATTCGCTTTTCATTATCCTGTTGTATTATCCAGTAAATAAAGCAATTCTATGGTTTAAGTATATATATATATATATATATATATATATATATATATATATATATATATATATATATATATATATATATATATATATATATATATATATATAGATTAAACAAAATGATTATACAATTAACAGGATTTCATGACTCGTTTATCTCTTGGAGACAGGATGAGCTTTTTATTTATATCCAACACACACACACACACACACACACACACACACACACACACACACACACACACACACACACACACACACACACACACACACACACACACACACACACATACACACACACACACACACACACATACATACACACACACACACACACACACACACACACACACACACACACACACACACACACACACACACACACACACACACACACACACACACACACACACACACACACACACACACATACATACACACACACGTGGATGGTCTGATCTCCACGCTAAATTCTTATCTCTCAAGATAAGTTGTTCGTGGATGTTACTTATGAATCTTAGCTGTAATTAATGTGTTTGAGAATTCGATATAACGTTAAAAAAAAAAAAACAGCGCACAAACGCACTCCTGTTAGTATGCGTGAAGGACACGGACATACACGAAACTCATTGACACACATACACGCAAAGTAGACAAACCTGCTCACACAAGCGAAAGTACACACAAGACACACACATTTACATCTGGCGTGAGAGCCGCTAATCTTTCCCTTACCACCAGCTAGTGAAATGAAGCTTGCAATAACGTGCAATTTCTCATGCAATTCAACACAGCACCGAGAGTGTGTGTTTACCTCTGGGATGCAACATTGCACTACATACTAAACCACATAGATCTCACATAGCTTAACCAAAGGTAAATATTTGTGTCCAGCGTCTCGTTTAGTAACTTTTAATTGTTCCATTCGTTTATATAGCGACGCTAGTTAAGCGGACGCCGTTTTAAGCGAACCCACCGGATACGCGTTGTTTGGAGGGCTGGAGTCTTCTAGGTAGTAGTGAGTCTTTGTGGATGGAGAGAGAGAGAGAGAGAGAGAGAGAGAGAGAGAGAGAGAGAGAGAGAGAGAGAGAGAGAGAGAGAGAGAGAGAGAGAGAGAGAGAGAGAGAGAGAGAGAGAGAGAGAGAGAGAGAGAGAGAGAAGACTCTTTATCCTGATTAGTCTTGAGATAATCGCTGGATACCTCTTCTGTTTGCGTAAGTGTGTGTGTGTGTGTGTGTGTGTGTGTGTGTGTGTGTGTGTGTGTGTGTGTGTGTGTGTGTGTGTGTGTGTGTGTGTGTGTGTGTGTGTGTGTGTGTGTGTGTGTGTGTGTGTGTGTGTGTGTCTTGTGTGTACTTTCGCTTGTGTGAGCAGGTTTGTCTACTTTGCGTGTATGTGTGTCAATGAGTTTCGTGTATGTCCGTGTCCTTCACGCATACTAACAGGAGTGCGTTTGTGCGCTGTTTTTTTTTAACGTTATATCGAATTCTCAAACACATTAATTACAGCTAAGATTCATAAGTAACATCCACGAACAACTTATCTTGAGAGATAAGAATTTAGCGTGGAGATCAGACCATCCACCAGACGATTGTATAGGCTCTCTCCTCCTCCTCCTCCTCCTCCTAGGAAAAACGCAACAGAACTCCTCAGCTCCTCAGGAGAGCAGAGGAGGGGGGGGGGGGGAAGACTAGGAAAACACAATGTCTTAACTCCTGAAGAAGGCAACACAATTCACAAAGAACGTCTCGGGGACAACAGATTGTCGCTCCTAAGATGTTTTTCGAGGAGGGGTGTTTAACTCTAGAAGAGGGTTGTATATTATATATACACAACTGAAAACTCACATCCCAGGAGTGACTCGAACCCATACTGCCAGGAGCACTGTGCTGGCGTACAGGATCCCTTAACCGCTCGACCAACACGACCGGATAAAAGAGGATGGTAGGCGAGGCTATTTCCATCCCCCCGCCGGTACTTGGTTGGTAATCTTGGGCATGGTATTTTATCAAATCACTACATTCTTTGGGGCACACGCGAGGAACACAATTGCGAACAAGCCTGAATGGTCCCCCACGTGGTCCTCACTGTGCATGTCTGCTACAGACTCTACTTGTATCAATTTATGCCTCTCTGCTCGTGTCTGGTTGTGTCTGCTTGATTAACTCTGCTCGTGCCTGTCTGCTCGTGTCTGTCTGCTCGTGCCTGTCTGCTCGTGTCTGTCTCTTGGTACATATTTTGCGTGGATATACTTGGTGTATATTCTTGATGTATAATGTAGATGAATAATTTTAGTATACATCCCACAGGGCAAGAAACACCGGTTTGAAGAACTATATATAATGTATATATTTAAAACAACAAAAAGTACGAATGAATTCGGATCACAGTCACATATAAGGGTATATCTGCTACCCATAAAATTATATATAAATAAATATACTTGTCGCTAAATTGTCAAAGGATATACATAAAAATTGTATTTCCTACGAGCAGTTAACATTATTGTCTCAATCGTCGTCAATTTATAATAGCCAGAATAAACTTTCTATTCAGGTATGACATTTATTCAGTGTCATATATTTTAAAGTAAAAATAAATGGAAATAAAATATGCAAATATAAGTATTTAAGTCAATTTATTTACATAAATGTCTGAATGTAAAGGCAGGAAATGGTTACTTATGTACGTAGAATGGGTCTAAGTTATGTACGTTTGCAGCTGTGTGTGTGTGTGTGTGTGTGTGTGTGTGTGTGTGTGTGTGTGTGTGTGTGTGTGTGTGTGTGTGTGTGTGTACGTGTACGTCGAAATCAACGCAAATCCACACTTGCGAACGATATATTTGTATGAAAACACCTCTAGTGTACAACTGTATACATATATATATATATATATATATATATATATATATATATATATATATATATATATATATATATATATATATATATATATATATATATACACGACTAAAGAGCACATTCCCTCCAAACATCCACATCACCTACGGGCTATTCATGCCCGTACCACCTCTTGTGGTGGTGTAATCTTCTACACCAACAACAACAACTTCTCTGTATTTCCTTGGTAATGTGGTGAAAGACGAAAACTTTCGGATTTTCCGTTGCATTTTCCTTGTAAATTCTCTCGTATAACCGAATCACGTGTTTTTTTTTTCCTGGGATTTCATTCTTGCATTCTTGGTAGTTCATGCAGCTGAGTGGGGCTGGTGTTTTCTTTCTAAACGACGGCTATCACAGAGGTGCATTACACCAAAGTCTTGCATGGACAGGTGCACAGCTTAGATATTTCTCCTACAAGTGAATAGCTGGGTGTTTCTGCTACAAGTGTGTAGCTAGCTATTTCTGCTACGAGTGTGTAGCTAGTTAGTTCTGCTACAAGTGTGTTGCTAGTTAGTTCTGCTATAAGTGTGTAGCTAGCCATTTCTGCTACAAATGTGTAGCTAGCTATTTCTACTACAAGTGTGTAGCTAGCTATTTCTGCTAGAAGTGTGTAGCTAGCAATTTCTGCTACAAATGTGTAGCTAGCTATTTCTGCTACATTTGCACAACAATAGCTGCTACATATGTACACAGCACTACAGAAATTGAGAATTGTATCCGCTGGCACCGACTCGGTTGACCTCACCTGGATGATAGAGAAAAAAAACATATATAAATATAGTTAACTGTACAATAGGCTAGGAAAACTTAACAAAAATCTTGTACAGTTTCACGTTTAATATTGCAGTGTTCTAGGGAATGATTTAATGGTTTGTTACAGAGTTTACAATCTGAATATTCTGGTAGTGGCTCAGCCTCATTAACCTGCCAGATGTGCCTATAGCCAAGGAGTATATTCGTTTAGTCATTAAAGAAAACCTTAGGAGAGAGAGAGGCAGCTATAAATGCCGTTTTCTTTGAGGTGGTCCTTATATTATTATTCTCAAGGGCTGACTGTAATTTATTCTTGTGAAACTGATCATGAGCAACTTGTATATTATCACACACGAACACATATACATACAAATATACACAAACACACACATATATACAAGCAAATACCCACACACACACCAGCTGATTGACAGTTGAGAAGCGGGACCAGAGAGCCAGAGCTCAAGTAACACACACACACACACACTGAGACATTAGAAAAAACTTTTTCAGTGTCAGGGTAGTTAACAAATGGAATGCACTAGGAAGTGATGTGGTGGAGGCTGACTCCATACACAGTTTCAAATGTAGATATAATAGAGCCCAATAGGCTCAAGAACCTGTACACCAGTTAATTGACGGTTGAGAGGCGGAACCAAAGAGCCGAAGCTGAACCCCCGCAAGCACAACTAAGTGAGTACAACGAACACCCGCTCAAACACCTACAGAAAGGCAGTGATCTGATTATAACTTAAAACACCCATTGAACAAAGGAGATACGCAGGAGTAGTCTGGTGTTTACTAATAGTAGTATTTAATCCTACGAAGATTTGTGTGTGTCAAGCCGCCAAATACGTCTCGAGTCTGAGAACAACAGCCCGCCAAATATGGCAAACAAAAGTCATATTATACATGCCACCAACAGGTCTGTTGAGGTATACCCACCGTTGAGTATACCTCAACAGAGGTCTGTTGAGGTATACCTACCGTCGTGTTGGCCGTGCGGGTTTACAATACTGCTGCGCGTCAAGAGTGCTTCAAGCATTGCTATCGTCTGCAGGCGCGTCTGCTTCTCCTGGTTGAGGCTTGCTACCTCCTGGCTATTGTTTTTAAACTGACAGATGAGCGTCCTTTCGTGTTTCTCGTCTCTCAGACGTTTCAGGTACTGTTTGAGTGCCAGCCTCCTCCTCCTCTCGAGCTCTGGGTCTTCCTGAGGGCTAAGTTGGTACAGTTTGATTTTCCTTCGAGGCACATTGCTCGAGCTGCCTGGCACTGGCTGGTCCCAACGTTGGCTAGGCACTCCCTCACTCCTTACTACTTGTGGCTGTCTGCGTGTGGCTGGAGCTAGTGGCTGGGAGTCCATGTCTGCTGTCTGCCCGCTGTTGATGACTCTGTCTAAACACGCTGCCACCTCCCTGATCACCTGAGGGTCCCAGGTGGTAATATCATTAATATCGTACTCGTCTCCTCCAAATACATCTGCGCACTGACATCTGACTTCTGAACTCTGGTAGGTCGAGAGGTCGCCGCAGGAGAGCAGCGCGGAGTGAGGGTCATGGCTGATGGAGGCTTCTTCAGGTAACACGAGGTGACTCGCTGAGGGCGCCCAGCCACAGGAATCGGGTATCAGGGACCCATTGTTGGCCCCCAAGTACCCGAAGCCGGGCTCACCACTCAGTTCACTTGGCGTAGCTGCTTCGGCGCCAGCGCTCAACATCGATCCATCGGATAACGAAGACTCGCTAAGAGCTCCCAGTTGGGATTCGAGAGGCATCCCGTACTGCGAGGTCTTCGTTATTAACTCCGGTGTTTCAAGTGTCCAAGGAAACATTATCCCTGGCGTTGGTGTCCTGGCGGAGGACAACTTGGTTGCCATAGAAGGCTGTGTGTGAGAGTGAGCGTGATGTGGGGTCCCAGTCACTTATTTATACTTGAGGAATGGCAGAGTATATCCCCCTGAGCGTTATGTCCAGGAAGACTTCCCAGGATGACCCGGGACTACACGCAGGGGTTATGTGGACGGCTGAATCACAATTCGCCGATTCAAACGATCCACTTCCTGAAGTCCGTCCGTACTTGCGTGCGTGCGTGTGTGTGTGTGTGTGTGTGTGTGTGTGTGTGTGTGTGTGTGTGTGTGTGTGTGTGTGTGTGTGTGTGTGTGTGTGTGTGTGTGTGTGTGTGTGTGTGTGTGTACTTGCGGGGGTTGAGCTTTGGTTCTTTGGTCCCGCCTCTCAACTGTCAATCAACTGGAATATAGATTCCTGAGCCTACTGGACTCTATCATATCTACATTTAAAACTGTGTATGGAGTCAGCCTCCACCACATCACTGCCTAATGCAGTGTGTGTGTGTGTGTGTGTGTGTGCACATTCAGATGCACTTGTGAGGGTCGAGCCTCAGCTCTCAGATCCCGCCTCTCAAAAGCTTAAATGACTAGCTCCAGAACCCATTGACTCTGCCTACATTTGAGTACAAGTTGAGTAATTCACCTCAGCCACTTCATCCTTTAATTCATTCTACTTACTTGCTACTTGTGTCTACCCTTATTCAGGTCCTCCTTATTTCAGTTAGTCTGATTTTGCCTACTTCATGAATTCCCCTTGAATATTTTCTATGTCATGATCATGTCTCCCCCTTTGTCAACTCTTGCGGTGATGTTAGGTTACATCCTTCTATAGTCTTCTAATTCTTCATATCATTATCGCTATCGATATTATCATTATCACTACCATTGGACTACACATAAATGTAAAACATTAGCAAATATGAAAAAATATATCCACTCCGCTGGATATATTTAGACGATAGCACGTGATATTTAGACGATATATTTAGACGATAGATAGACGAACGATAGCACGTAGTGTTATCGTTCGTGACACTGTAAACATAAAGTATTTAATAAATCCTAAATTCATACAATCATTCTACAAAGATATTGCAACAGAACATAACTATGAAAGACAAAAAAAATCAGTCTAAGTATTTTCTGTGTCCCTCTTAAATACATCAAAACATTAAATATACGAAACTGTGCTTCTATCTCATCAAATTAATTTAGACATGGCACTATGATTTAAAAACAAAAAAAACTAGTGGCATTTTTCTGCATCTATATCCATAATTCACAGCATAATTTTTTTTTTACCGTATTCCAGTATTTACGATAAAAAAAAAAACAGCCAAAGAGAGACACAATCCCATGTGCTTACATCACCATGTCAGCCACACACTTAAGGATTATGAGTGTCTTGAGAGTGTCTTGAGAATGACTGGAATGTATCACTCAACATCTTCTGGCATTTAGACGATGCCAGTATTCGATCAAGAGGCCTCACGTCCCAGCACACAAGATACGGGTCTTGTGAGCTGGTGGTTTCGCGTCCCAGCACACAAGATCCGTGGTGTAGTGGTAAGACACTCGCCTGGCGTTCCGCGAGCGCTATATCATGGGTTCGTATCCTGGCCGGGGAGGATTTACTGGGCGCAATTCCTTAACTGTAGCCTCTGTTTAACGCAACAGTAAAATGTGTACTTGGATGAAAAAACGATTCTTCGCGGCAGGGGATCGTATTCCAGGGACCATAGGATTAAGGACCTGCACGAAACGCTACGCGTACTAGTGGCTGTACAAGAATGTAACAACTCTTGCATATATCTCCAAAAAAAAAAAAAAAAAAAAAAGATACGGGTCTTGTGAGCTGGTGGCCGAGGCAAATCTGTCTCTCTTTAGTCCGAGTGTTATGTGAGACTCTTGAACACGCTTGGTGTACTTTCTCTCCATTTTACTCAAGCTGAGTGACAGCTTATTATTACTCATAATTATCATAATAATAATCATCCCTTTCAGATAATCCAACATACACACGTGAAAGGGAAGTGACGGGGGTTTCGATCAGTCATGGATTCTCATCACGACTTGATAAGGGACCAAGACGGACTGAAACGTCGTGATAAGGGTCAAGGACGGACCGAAACGTTGATATAAGGGTCCAAAACGGACCGAAACGTTGAGATAAGGGTCCAAGACGGACCGAAACGTTGAGATAAGGGTCCAAGACGGATCGAAACGTCGAGATAAGGGTCCAAGACGGACCGAAATGTTGAGATAAGGGTCCAAGATGGACCAAAACGTCACGATAAGGGTCCAAGACGGACTGAAACGTCGTGATAAGGGTCCAAGACGGATCGGAACGTCGCCACTTTCATATGAGAAGGTTACACACGTTTCATCCCCCGTTATTGTGACTTATTTTCTACATCTATCGAATTATGTTCAGCGTGTTCATTATGTGTTCAGCAAGAACACCTTCCTCAACATACATTTATTGTTGGTATTTCGTCGGGAACAATAATTTTGAGATTTATTGTGAAGGCGCGAATGTCAGAAGTAAATTTAGGTTCCAAATATACTAATGTGTCTTCTGTTTCCATCACCTGTGTATACAACATCCCGGACCATGGAACTGAACACTGTTTGTCAACATTAATGAAAATCAAGTTTATTGAAATGCATTTCAATACTGGTGATGCAGTAGCACCACTAACCAGCTGCAGCAGCACCAACACCACCAGCTGCAGCAGCACCACCACCACCACCACCACCACAACCACCACCACCAGGTAGGAAGTCATACCTGTACACACCAGCTGGAGATGTACTCTGGCATCGTGCGGTATTAAGCAGCATCCTCCAGTGTCTTACACCAAGAGTCAGGTGGTAGAGAGATGCAGCATCCGACTGACTCTTTACCACGGCGCGGCTTTACCTGTTCTTGGACATATGAGGAAGAGATGTGTTAGTGGGGGGAGAGAGAGAGAGAGAGAGAGAGAGAGAGAGAGAGAGAGAGAGAGAGAGAGAGAGAGAGAGAGAGAGAGAGAGAGAGAGAGAGAGAGAGAGAGGGGGGGAAGAGTTATAACCAACGTACAACATCCTGGACACATTTCCAAGAAGATAGTGCTGATATTCATGTCTTTTAGGTCATTTTTAATGTGATAATTGTGTTCTATATTCACATGATTGCGTGTGTGTGTGTGTGTGTGTGTGTGTGTGTGTGTGTGTGTGTGTGTGTGTGTGTGTGTGTGTGTGTGTGTGTGTGTGTGTGTGTGTGTGTGTGTGTGTGTGTGTGTGTGTTTGTGTGTTTAATTCCGGGGGTTTAACTCTTGCAATATTTCGTCATCACCCTTTATTTTCGTCACTATTACTTAATGTAAGTATTTCAGAACTATGTACATTCAGTGTTGCCAAGTGCACTCTTGGAGGGAATGGGGGGTTTCAGAAAGTTGTGAAACGTCTCAAGGGGATGTTGGCAGACCTAATGCTTCATTAACCTTTAGCATATATTCTTCATGTTTAAAAATATGATCTATATACTTTTTTTTAATTTTTTTTTGGGTGTTAAACTGATATTTTTGCTATGAATGTTTATGTATATTTTATCGGTTTGTTATTTCTAGGAAACTGTATTGTTGTTGTTGGTATGTTGAAGTTATCGGTGGTTTGCACTGTCAGGTGGCAGTGTAAAGTGGCAGTGTAAGGTGGCACTGTAAGGTGGCACTATAGACTGACACCAGGGATAGGCTGTTACCTTGTCACACTAGGCTATGGGGATATTTTTCCTTTTTACTCATAAATACAACACCTTCCAATGTTTTCTAGACCTGACTCATGGCCGCTTACAACCTTGGCTGACTGGTCGGTTATCTTGAGGTTATCTTGAGATGGTTTCGGGGCTTAGCGTCCCCGCGGCTCGGTCCTCGACCAGGCCTCCTTTTTGTTATACACCCCCAGGAAGCAGCCCGTAACAGCTGTCTAACTCTCAGGTACGTATTTACTGCTAGGTGAACAGAAGCATCAGAATGAGAGCTATCAGGATGAAATGATAAAACTATCTATTTCGTAATGTATGAGTTAATTTTGTTTTATTTGAGTTAAAACTAATGTAGATATATGACCGAACCTAACCAACCCTACCTAACCTAACCTAACCTACCTTAACCTAACCTAAACTAACATAACTAAGTCAATTATTTATGTACTTAAAATAGAATAATAATAATATTTCAAATAAACCAAATGGAAAGAAGTTTTTGAAAATAAAGAAAATCACTCGGCCTATTAGGCAAATCGGGCCTTGCATAGTAGGCCGAGAAGTGCATCTGGCTACTAGGTACAACATATATATATATATATATATATATATATATATATATATATATATATATATATATATATATATATATATATATATATATATATATATATATATATATATATATATATATATATATATATATATATATATATATATATATATATATATATATATATATATATATATATATATATATATATATTTCATATATAAGCTGTGCTTTGCTACGGAAGCTTCTAAAAAAATTGCCGATTAACAAAGCTTGAATCGAATTGGATGAATATTTTCAAACTCTTCGTTCAAGCAGTGTAGACTAAAAACACGAAGAGTTCTGAGATATAGAGAAGAAAATTAGATTGTTTAACATTATATGTGACCAGAGAAGTATTGACCGCAGGTCACATTGCTTGAAGTCTTTCTGTGAACCCTAAGCTTCCCTATGAAATCTTCCTCAGTGAATTAAGACATCCAGAAATATATCTGTTGGCCCACCAGAAGGTCCTCCCTTCTGACCAACCTTGATCTCCACCCCCTCCCCCCCCCACTAGAATGTATTATACAACATTTATTTATTTATTCATATATACAAGAGTTGTTACATTCTTGTACAGCCACTAGCACGTATAGCGTTTCGGGTAAGTCCTTAATGCTAATTTTCACACACACACCCGCCAGGAAGCAGTCCGTAGTAGCTGTCTTATTCCCAGGTACTTACTTTCTGCTAGGTAACATTGGCTTTTCTCTCGTGTTCCCCCTTTATTA